AAACGGATGAAGGAAACTGGTTTGAGGAGATTCTGAAGCTTACCTGGTGAGCCTCTAACCCATTCTAACCCAGATTTGGATACTGCCATATGAAGATAATGAACAGATGTTTGGAGATCTGTGGAGCATTTAAAGCTGATCAGAGATAGACTGCAGAGAAATGTGGGCGTGTGGTGGTGATGATGCAGTGTGTGCTTACGGTCAGCAGGGGGCCTTATGCACTTTGATCGCAGTGACCTCCTGTGCGTGTCAGTGCTCCAGTGTAATTGATCTGCTGATCACTTGTGTGATACGACCAAGCTGTTGTTTTGACGAATGGAAGCAACGGGAAAAGCCACAGTGTGTTTATGTGCATGTCTGTATACAAGTGTGTTTGTATGCAAGCACACCCCCGTCTCCCAAGTGCCTCTGAAGCTTTGACTCACTACATAGCAAAGCAATGGGATCACATTCTCTGAGGTATAATGTAATGTATTCTACTGCACTCAGGGAAAAAAGCTTACCCAAACAATCGGTTTCTGCGCGATCATTAATGTATCATTGTTGTGCAAAAGTTTTCTAATGGAAGTCATTGTGATGTAAGATATGAAGCTTCAGACTTAATATCAACAATCTCCCTCCACCAAAGCAGACAAGTCCAGTTTCACATCCGCTTCTCAAACCTGACATTGTACCTTATTGCTCGACTGTTGAGGCTGAGTGCTTTTGTTCTTTTCAGTTCTCTGCCTTTCTTTCCTTCTGTGTTCCTCTCCCAGGGATTTTTTTTTTTAGGGCTGGTTTAGGGAGGAGAACGCTGGCGGGGCTGTATTTGAGCAGGGCAGCATATCCCTGCCAAGAAATGAGTTCACCGAACTGCAGTTTCCTCCAAAGGAGATGCGATAAGGTTTCTGCGAGAGCCCTGGCCCAGCACTTGATTTACAGATGAAAAAAGAGAAACAGACAGGATGAAGAGGAAGATTAATGGAGGGGAGGGGATGTACTGACTGAGACAACAGACAGAAGTGGAAGAAACAAATTTTTGCATTGTGCACGGTAAACCAAGAATGCCTTAGAAAACAATTTACATTGAGTCTTAAAAGTTATTTGAACAAGGCACAGTTTGAAAGGCTCGATTCCAAATGACCTGTTAAGTTGGATCAAGACAGATGAACAGGGAGGAAAGAAGACTGTAGTGTTTGGCTTGAAAGAAAGTCAGGTCATGGAGTTTGAAACATTTTGAATGAAACAGTGGAATTGCAAAAGAGAAAGAGTTGTATTCATCAGGTAGGTTAATATCCTGATATAGTGCCCTTCAGGCTCCATGTAAACATTTTGCACTGAGTTTCTCATTATTTTTAAAGTCTTATTATAAACAGTTCAAATTCTAGTTGCAGAAAAGAATGATTGACTAGTTTGTTTTATTCCTTCATTTTATTCTTTTTGCAATGTTCTTTTGAGTATGAATACAGACCCCGTGACCCCTAGTCACTAAACTCAAAGTTTACTTAATTGCTTTTTCGAGAGCTTGCGACCATATCCCAAGACCTCCTTCGGTTAATGGAAAACCTAAAGATGATAAGTACGGTATCATAGTGGTTAACTAGTGGTTAGGATATTACGGGTTCCGGGGGGGGATCGGGGGGTTGGCGGGGCGGCGGAACCACTTGTTATCATGTCACCAGAGTCCACTACTTAGGTCATTTTATGACACCTGAGCAAGTTCCATATACTGAAGAAGGCAGTGAGATATGGTTTAAAGCTCAGGAAACAAGTTCCAAAAGGCTAAAGGCCAAGAATAATTCTCTACAATAACAGACAACTTATTACCAGGCACATTTCATACTCATTAAAGATAAATGAATATTAAAAATGTATGATTTTTCACCTACACACCCAAAGCTACCCTAAACACATCCTACATCGAATTCAGCCAAAGGAATAACCAAATAAAAAGGAGACAACAAATGGAAAAATGATCTACCAATAATATATTCACAGGTCATCTTTATAAAAATGACAAGTGTAATTTCTCTAATAGATTTTCTTCTCTTCTTCTTTCTCCAATATGCTTGTTCAAATAGAAATCAATAGTTTCCTTTCATCACAGCAGCCACCATGATTACAGCAGAATGACTTTAATGTTGGACTGTCCACTGTCATGGCACAGTGACGCACACTTTCTGCACTTTGAAGAAGTTAGCCATTGAGGCTGCACGTCAGCCAAACCCTTTTATGAAGGTTCCGTGTTGCTACAGCAACGGATGCTAACATCACTGCAGCGCTGATGCCTGATTAGGTCAGCTGTAACCAATGGCCCATAGCACATAGATTTTCATAACAGCTATGGAGTTTCTGCCCTTTATATCCGGCCCACCAGCGGAAAATTGCTGCCACCAGTAAATAAAATAAAAAGAGAAATCAACGGGGTTTTCCATTTGAAGGAAAAAGTCTGCAGACATCGCGGCTTGTTCATGGTCTTTTGAAAAGGGCTTTCAGGAAGACTTGTGTGGCCTTATAAGGTCTTTACAGCCTGGCAACATTTTATGCAGTTGAGGTTGTCTGGTACAGAACTGTAGCCTCTGTAGCCCACTTATTAGAATGAGACTCCAGAAGAAACATTGCCTGTGTTGATCCATGCTGTACTGCTGAATAAGGGCCATTTGACATCAGTAAGATCACAACGTAATGTCTTTCTGGGAACAAACAAAATCAAAGACACACATTACAGTACTTTTTCACTGTAGACATTTTAAAATCTCACAGTATGAAAACCACAGATATAAATGATAAAATGAATTCAGCTGTTTCAGTTTCAGGACGCCAGTTGTGTTCATGCTGGCTCACTGTCACACTGTCAAGGCTCACTGGGACGTGTGCAAGAACAGAGCAGTTTTTCAAGTGATAGTTTGGGTTATTTGGGTCGTGTGAGGTTGTTGTCTGTATACAATGTATTACCTGCGGAATATTCGGATTGGCGCTGAGTGATGTGCTGCTGTGGACGGGGCCATCCGCAAAAGGGTGTTTTAGTCACTTTCAAAAAATGCCCTCAGAAAAAAAAAAGCTATTATCAGTTTAAAACACAACGATGCTTAGCTCTGTCTGACTCATACAGCTGATCTGTGGAGTAATACCGTGTGTGTCATAGTCGTGCTTGTGCGCAGTAATATGGTAAATCAACACTTCACAATGAAAGGGCTGTTTGACGGTAAGATAAAGCGGTGAAAATATTCAAAATAAAGCAATACTTAAATTGATATTAGCATTTTTTTAAAGTGGCTAAAACACAATCTGCTGCAGGTAATACACTGACTATAGATGAGTACCTCCCACAATCCCACGTCAAATAACCCAAACTATCACGTTAATGTTATCATAAACACCTGTGTTATTCTGAGTGTGGGTTTCTATCCCTCTGTCTTTATGCATATTTTCAGTTTGTGCTTAAAAAAACTATGGAAATACCAAAAGGTTTGGATGTGTTAAAGAGAACTGGATGCCATGTTCAAAGATGGCACCTTTTTCATTCCTATGCAGGTTGGTCAGTGAGTGCACACTCCGAGAAAGTGTCTACCTATAGGTGAACACTAGAGTCCTTCTCCAGTCGAGCTAGTTGAGAGCATGGGTTTCCAAGACTTCTGTCAGCCAAATCAGCTGACTCCTTATTGGCTTCCTGCACACATAAACATGATGAATAATATTGGTGAATAGTAGTGATCATATGGCTCTTGTAGACTTTCCAAATGTTATTCAGTTTGTTAATTTGACAATTCTGGAGTCACAGTCACAGTCGCAGTGTCAACCAGTGTGACATTGGCTTCTATATGCTGGAGGTTATTAGATTTGAAGTTTACTGTCACATTTATTTATTTCTTAGAGTTGAAATGTCAGAGAAGTGGGTTGCAGCACCAGCCAAGACGGATCACGTCAGGCTGTGCGGTTGATCCCCCACTCTAACAACTGGATTTGCAGCACTGTGCGGTGCCAAAGAGAACACATCCAAAACGAAGGAGGTCTCATTTCTCCTTCTAGCCTCGCTGCCCCTGTCATCAGCTCTGCACTACAGTGAAAATATCTTCAAATTACTCAGTATGCAATGACATCAATGCAGTAGCTTCTTTAGTTGATAATTAACTGGTTTTCTCAACTTTGCTTCCTAACTTTATTTATTAAATGACTAATACATTCACTTCCAGTCAGTATTAAATTACCCTTACAAGACTTCAGATTAGGTTTCTTAAACCAAAACTTGTCTTGGCCACTTACTTGTTTTCTCTGTCACACAGGACCCTATAATGGATGTCTTTTCTTCCTCATAAACATTCTCTCTCTAATCATAAAATGACTTTAACAGTGAATAACTGTAGTCTCTCTGAAAAGTGGTTGCCCTTGTTTTGAGTAGACACTATGGCTAATTATGATTGCTGCACTATAAATTACTTCCTAACTAATGTCCTTGCTCTGATCAAAAGGGCTTTGCCACGCCACAGTCACACATCAGCAAACTACTTCCTGTCTTACAGTCCTGATTTTTGATAAATTGCTGAATAGGATATCTATCTATCTATCTATCTATCTATATATCTATCTGTCACTAAAGACTCGTAAGATGACCCTTCATCATTGTTATAATTCATCTTTACCTACATGGGGACAGGGGAATTTCATTCATTATCAATGTAGAGCACCTCACTTTGTTGATGATGTCATTTTTTTCTAACCTTCTCTAGACAAACAGTGAAGCACAAACAATGGCAGTGACACTTGGAGTTGGGTGTTGGTCAAATTGTGAGCAGTGACAGCAGCTGATGTGTCAGCTGAAGTGTAAATGATTAAAGTTGTTGAAATGTCAGTTGAAGTTTAAGCACTGAAATGAGTGAAAGTACTAAAAGCAGCTGGAATCAGTCAAAATGAAATCACTGAAAGCAGCTGAGGTTTCATTCAATGTTTTAGTGATGAAAACAGCCAATGAATCATTTAATCAACTTCAGACTAATCAATGGAAACTTGTGTTCTCTCAGCAGCCTGCAAACAACGGCCCTCCTCCACTGCCCAGCTCCTCTCTACCAGAAGGCTACTATGAGGAGGCGGTTCCTTTAAGCCCTGGAAAGGCTCCTGAATACATCACCTCCAGTGAGTGACATGTTCATTTTCATGCTGCTGAGGAGAAACTCAGTTTATAACTTTTTTATTCATGTTTTTATATGTACTTGCATTTTATTGAATAGGAAACAAACGGCAGTTTATGTGTGCACCTCCCTCTTAGACTATGACTCAGATGCCATGAGCAGCTCCTATGAGTCGTACGACGAGGAAGAGGAGGATGGGAAGGGCCAGAAGATGCATCACCAGTGGCCGTCTGAAGAGGCGTCCATGGATCTGGTGAAGGACGCCCGGATCTGTGCATTCCTGCTGCGCAAGAAACGCTTCGGCCAGTGGACCAAACTCCTCTGTGTCATAAAAGATAACAAACTGCTGGTATGGGACACTTGTGTACATGTTAGCTCACCCAGGCACAATCTGAAGGGTTCTCCCAAGATCTACATGCATACTTGCATGTATGAATGTGACCAAAGGGGAGCATAGACAATAGGCAAGGTAACATTACAGCAAAATCATGTTTGGTTCCTCCAGTATGACCTTCCCCTTCTCTCTTCCTCCAGTGTTACAAGTCTTCCAAAGACCACACCCCCCAAATGGAGCTCACCCTGTCTGGGTGCAGCATCACACACATCCCCAAAGATGGAAAGAAGAAGAAGCACGAACTGAAGATCGTCCACCAGGGGGCAGACGCCCTGGTGTTGGCTGTGCAGAGCAAAGAACAGGCTGAGGAATGGCTAAAGGTAAAACAACGAACTGATACTGATGCAGTCTGAACTGGAGTTCCATGCTAAATAGAACAGTGCTCAAATAGGTGAGTTAGACAGATCATCCTTGAGCTTAGAAACAGCCGCTGACAAAACAGTCTCCTTTCAAAGTCCACTCACTCCATGGGTCATAAAACTTTGGAGCACATTACAAAACAATCAGTCCTCAAAGTCCACTGACTTGCAATTTCTGGGGCTTTCAGCCAAATCACTTTGAACTTCATCAGCAGATAAATATCTCTGTGGCTCAACTTTAAGTCAACGTGGACAAGAGTGAGCAAACTCAGTTAGCTGACCATGTGATACGACAAACATGAGATAGAAGACAAACTATGACATGGAAGATAAATGAAATGGACATAATGTACAAAGATATAAAAACAATAACATGAGGTTAAGTTACAATGATGTAATAATCAGTTGCAGCGAAGGATGTGATGATAAGAGTAAAGGGAGTCCAGAACAGGTAGGATCAAGTAGAGCATGTGTGGGTAATGTATGTGTGTATGTTGAATGATTGTATGAGAGGCAGTGATAGGCAGTGTGGGAGGGGGGAACGAGGGAACAGATAATAAAAACGTATTGATAATGTTATCATGACAATAAATATATGGTGTAACAATGGTATCACTATAATACTATAACAATAGAATGATATATTCATATAATAATACTATAAAAGTTATTATATACAATACAATAAAATATTACAGTAGTGAAGAGTGAGGGGAGACCAGGCCACTGTCTCTCACCCCCCTCGTCTTCTTTCCTGCTCCAAAACACAACAATAGCATATAGACTGCTTTTCAAAGCTTGCGTCCATTTGTTGTCAGTGTGGTGCCAACACCTCTGGGCTCTTTCTATTTCAATCGCAGGAGGAAAGATGGGCCTCATCTGGTCTATGGATTTGAAAAACCCCCACAGCCCCCCTCCTCCTGCTCACCTCTGCTCTCCTCTGCTCTCCTGAGAATATCCTGGAATTCCTTGTTTGTCCTTGACCATGTATTTTGTGCTTTTTTTAAGATTCCTCCTTGCCCATTTGTTCAATGGTATTTTTGAAATCATTCATGCCCCCAGCTTTTGCCAGTTCAGTTTCTCTTTGCTGTAGTTTTACCAACAAGCTTTTGGACTTGGAGGTGTGCATTCATTTTCACCAAAGCTCTTGTTAAAGAATGATGTGTAGGGGTGTTTTGCCCTGCAGACTATTGATGGAAACACCAGTCTTCTTATGTGCAGTGTTTGCTCTCTGTCTTTTTCTTGAAGGTCCATCAATGTAATGTTTATGGCTGTCAGGAAACAAACATCAAAACAATTTGCGTTTTTCTTCTTGATTCAATTATTCTTTCCGCACAGTAATTAGCCGTTGTTTATTGATTGGCTGGGGCAGGTAACCTTGTCTGGGCCGTGGTATCTGCAGGCATTTGCAACCAGACCCATGAAAATATACAAATCTCTGTACCACCCAAACTATGGTAATGCTTGCACTATTGCTGCTTGGAGAAAATGGGTCTGGGAGCATATTTAGTCAGGTGCAGGAAATTAAAAACATATTGAACTGGTAATGCTATGACAGTCAGTTTTTCATTCTCCCAATCACTGAAGTGTTTTTGTTTGCTTAATCGATGCGCATGTAGTTCGTCATGCTGCTGCAATCAGCAGTCATCACATCCACTTGGCTGAGGTTCTGCGCTCACACCCTCTTTTGCAAAACAGCTCTGGATTTGAAGTCCATGTCTCGTGTTTGTGTCATCAGCAGCAGAGTGATGGAGGCTTAGATTCCGTGGCTCGTTCTGTGCTCCCTCAAAGCTCAGGGTGTGTAAGATTGGTGTCCAGCCAAAAAGATTAACATGTCTTTGTGTCTTTGTTTGGATATTGTGTTGCTAGGACCACTGGGTATTAAGCAGTCACTCATTCATTCATTCATTCTTCCCCTTACTTTTTTGTCTCTTGACCTCTTTTCTCCAGCTTTTTTGTCCTCTTCTCTTAAACTCATCTTTTACCCACATACATAAAACTTCAATAACAGCTGACGTCCAAACCGATTTGGATAATGGAAATAATGATTTCTTACGACATTTCCCACCCTTGTTGATGAAAGGAAGAGAAGAAAGGAGGGTGAAGAGAAATGTAGGAGAGTACCTGAGTTTCCAAAGCCCGCTAGTTACAGTAATGATTCCCCCAGACATTGTCTGCTAACGATGTGTTTATGGGACACACATGTCCATATTCTGTTCTTACTTCATTCTCCGAAACCTCCCCACTTTTTTTTTACTTTTTTTTAAATTTGTATGCATTTCTCCTCTTTTTCTTGCAGACAGTCCTCTATCACTATCAGTCCTATCCTAACTTCTCTTTTTTTGTCTTTTTATGCAACACCAGATCATTCATGACTACATCACTGATCCCACGTTAAAATCAGTTTAAATTTCCAATGATCCCATTCATGATCCATTTTTAAGTTCTGTGGGAAAGGAGTATATCGATCCCTCGGAACAGAAGAACACGTCTGTTCAAGGGAAGATCTACAGAGGACACCTTACAGTTACCCATAGACCCATGTTACTGAACCAGAAAGTACCATCATGTCACTGGTTATTCAGGCATTCATGAATGGACTTGGTGCACAGTATGTATGTAGTGCTTGCTCAGTTGCAAACTGTCTTTGATAAAGCTGTGGAATCACAGTAAAAGTCCAGGAACTGGTGGTGGCCTAGTGCTTAAGGTGCTGACCATGAACCTGGTTTTCTGTGCAGCCAGGGAACTTTGTTGCATGTCTCTTTGTTGCGGTCTCCCCTCACTTTCTGTCAGCTCTGCTGTCTAATAAAGACTCATTTTAAAAAAGGCTAAAAATACATTTCATGACCCTTCAGTTTAGTTTTCCTTTGAAAATGATTATAAATAATGTGGCTATTCTGCACTCTGCAGCACAAACCACATAAACATACACCCAAATTCTTAACGAAAGGAACAAATAAAGATAAAATTACAATTACAATTTTAAAAAGAAAATGCCTCAGCACTGCTTTCATGCATCAGTGGTGCGTGGTGAGTGCAGCCAAAGGCAAATGTTTTAAGCCCACAGAGCATGGAGAATGAGTTTTGATCATTTTTATGGAAATGATCAAAATTGCTTTCAACAAAAAGCCCTATTATATGCTGTCAGAAAAGTAAAGCCCTCAATATTGGTTGCATATAAGAGACTGAATTGTTTTCTTTTCTCTGTTTTTTCTTTTTTTGCCAGATAAACAATACATCCCAAGTGAGTAAAAGCACTGAAGCAGAATTGCTGTTACTGGAATATATAAAGTTTTTAGATTTTCACTACACTTTGATAGAGTTACATTAGTTGTGTGTGTGTAGGATTCAAGCTCATTTAAAAAAAAAAAAAAAAAAGTAAAATATTGTGAAAAAGTAAAAATAATAAAAATCACTTTAATGCTTCGAGCTTGCAGCAGCAACATGTCGATCACCAGCATATTCATTTTATTGAAGGTGGTGTTTCAGCACCCAAAACTGCCTCCACTGATTTGTACCATATAATCAGACCTATCTAGTACCCCAGTCTGGCAAAGCAGTGGACAGTGGAAGATACACATGATGTTGCTGTTTGTCCCGCTCTCTGGCCTCTGAGCTGCTCTCTGAGCCAAACCCATGGAGCCACAGCCTGTCATTTTCCCTGCGAAACCCAATTATGCTCTCTCCAAGCCAAAACCAGTGAGCTGAGGAGTTCTACACGGCAAGAGATGGTTCAGAATGCTTGTGGAGGAAGATGTTATGTGCGTGTGTGTGCGTGTGTGTGTGTGTGCGCATGTGTGTGTGTGTGTCAGAGTGCATTAGCTGACTTGCGTACACAGCGGTTTGTCTGAAATCTCATTTCCCTGTGCCCACCGCTCATCTGCACACACCCGTCACCACCACATGCCTCGGACTGCCAGATCTGATGGTGGGTTGCCAGGTCTGAAGTCCAACGAGGTCACAGCAATGCACACTGGTGCCCCGTCCAGAGCCCTGCAGATCTCATTCACCCCTACTGGACCTCATTGCATAAGGATTCCATGGACGTAGTAAATCTCTCTGGTGTCTAATGTGTGTAGCAGACACCCCCACCCCTTCACCAGCTCCTACCACACATGCATATATGCATTCTACCTCCTGTAGTTACTCCACGGAGTGGGCTGTATTGCCTTATGATCCCTTGGCTGCCATTCAGTAGCATGATGGAATATGAGAGAGGAGGTGTTCACCATACATGTGGCCTGCATTACCCTAGGCATGCTGTCTAGGCTGAAGGAATAAGCTGCTTAATTATGTGGCAATAGTGTTAGGAAATATTTTCGGATTTTTAAATCAGGGATCCACCCATGTGTTAAGATCATAGTAAGGACCTAACATTCCACAAGCCTGGTGAGACATGGCTGCGTAAATTGAAGTCCCTTGGCAGTGATCAGCATGCGTGCGAGTGTCAACTTTCCACTCGTTTAATGTAAACGGCAGCCTTGTTAGCTCATGCTGTATTTCCTTATGTTTTCCAGGTGATGAGAGAGGTGTGTGTTAATGGGAGCGTAGACTTGGATGGAGCTGGAGCTGGAGCTGGATCTGGATCGCCTGTGCACAAACCTGAACTGGAAAAGGTGACACACTCATACACTGATAGTTGCCGTAATCATATTAGCAAATGTTGTGCTTTCTCATAAATGATTAATTCAGTATGAGGGTTTGGATCCAATAGCTGCATAAATTTTGGGTCTGGTCCCAGGTTGGCAAAATACCTGGATTTGCTAACAAACCTCACATCAAATCCTGTTTCTTTTCAACTCTTTTTATTAGCAAAAAGTACAAAAGTAAAAAGCTAAATTTCACACAAATGGTTAATATTTTAAATGACTCTGGATAAACAGTGATGTAATCTGAAACTAGTTTGTGGAGGAGGCAGACAACCACCAGGTGGTAACTCTAGTTATGACCGTCTCTTTCACAAATATTGCCGTTTGTTAGTAATATGGCGCCTGATTGTTGTCTAGTTAATGTGATCTCTGTTTGCTGGTGTGTGTAAATTCTTTGTCAGAGAAGGCAACACCACTCTCTAAAGCTGCCCACAAAGGTGCAAGTGCTGTGAATTTTCTCAGGTGAAAATGTCCATGTTTGTGAGGGTCTGCTTGGATTTACATTTAGAAGTATATCCAGCTCTTAACACCACTTTACAGTCCTGACTGGATTGTTTGTTTTTTTGTTTTTGCGGTTCAACAAGACCAACAGAGGGATGAGTCCTCTGGTGAAACAGTTTTTTTTTTTTCAAAAAAAGCTCCTAGTGACATATGTAGTGACTTTTTGGACAAACATTAGATACTTTATGTAGAAGAGAGTACTGCCCCACGAGAACGAGGTCGGGATTTCCCTCCACAGACACGCCTCTGCACAGCAGCTGACATGAAAGAGCCTCTAGTTGTCTCTCTGAGTGATCATTTTCCAAGTGAATATAACCAAAATCACAGTCCACCTCTTGTCTTTAACTTTATTTAACAGTTATTGAATCAGGATTTTAGAAGCAGCAGAGCAGCTTGGATATGGAAGTGACTGCTGGTTAACATGTAGTCTGAATGGGCTGCGTTTCACTCTCTATTTCATACTAGTTCTGTTGTCTGGAAACAGAAACAGAAAACCATGTAGATGAGAACAGCTTTATTGGGAATTCAACTGTATTTAAATACTGTGTATATGATGACAGAGAGTAAGCAAACATTTGCCTTTTACACATCGAACAGTTGCAGCTTAACCATAGCATTCATTTTACAGAGTGTTTATGTGCACCTGATGAATGTAAGTGCAGTATTCACTCTTCTTTCAGTTGTGTTGGTTTCCACCAACTCCAGAGGGAAGTATTTGGTTCTTTAGCTGCTAAATGCTCCAACCCAAGCAAGTAAAATAACAGTCAACGCAGGAGACATACTGTACCCAGCACTCATGTGTGTGCCTGTATGCATGTGTGTTTAGTGGTGGAAAATGAGCTACATCAGAGGCTCTTTAATGACAAACCGTTCCCAACTTGGCACAGCAAACACAAGCCCAGCCTAATTATTCATCTGTAACATGTTGCAGATGCTCTTAAGGGTTTTTACAATGTACAATGTTAGACAGCTGTGTTTGTGTGTCGACGCCTTTGTTGACCTGTCTTTTTTCAGAAACGTACAGTTTTGATGACTTTGTGTCTTCTTGTGCATCCATTCGTCTATGGTCTTCCTGCTGCCAGAAGGCATCATGTGACAGGCCGAGCTCCGATGGAGAGGCGGCGCATGAGAATGGACACAGTGACTGCAAGGAGCAAGGTGAGGGTCCACAGCAACAATAACCGAATCTTTTTTTTTTCATGGAAATAAACATCTGTTGTTAACAGAGGTGCTTCATGTAAATCCAGTTAATGAGAGCATTTCAGTGTTTGTGTTAACACAAAATGACTTTCATGGGAAAATCCCTTTCTGGTTCATTTGGAAGCAGCAGAAGAAGAACAGGGTAGTTAGCATGAACAACAATAGCCACCATGGTGACAGAGCATATAAAAGCAACAGAAAATGACTCCAGTGTACTGACCACACTGTTTGATTGACAAGTCATGAAAGGGAATTAAGAGAAAAAATAAAAATGTTGCATGGTCTCTTGTCGTGTTTCACAGCAGTGGTGTAAATTACAATATTTTCATGAAATAAAATTGCAGTGCTGTTTCAGCTCGCTACAATATCGACAGTGACTACCACATATTAGTTTTCTTTTTCTTTTTTTTTACTATTTCAAATGGATAACATTTTAACTCAACCCCTCCTTGCCTCTCTTTCTCTTTCTCTTTCTTTCTCTTTCTCTTTCTCTTTCTCTTTCTCTCACAAGCACATTGACAACTGACCTGTCTATCACAGTCAGATTGGCCGTCGTGAACACCAGGAGAAATCCTGCCGTCTATCGATGCTTTCCTGTTGCACATGACATTGGTCTCCTAATTGCTACAGTTTAAATGTTTTAATGTGAGAATTCAGAACGATGAAAAAAACCATTAGGGACAGTTCAACAGCCTGTTTTACCTGGAAACTTCAGACAAAGACAAAGCTAGTAAGTGGGCCTTGAGTTGAGATCGTTTCGTCAGATTTGTGTGATGTTTCAACATCTGTGAATGGTTAGCTGTTTATAGAGTGAAATCCCCATCATAAAACACTGCATTCATGCAGTACCAATTTTTGTATCCCTAAAAGCACAATAGAAAACAGCAAAAAAAAAAGTCATGTTAAATGAGGGTAGGACATTATCAATACTGTTGTTTCTTGGAATCAACAAAACTTGGACAAAGTTCTAAAGAGATATTACGGCTGCCTTTCCTTAATCTGTCTCATAATTCAGAGAGGAATCTGTACAAGCTCTGAACAGGCCAGCCTTTAATAATAATGCATGAAGCATGAAGAATGAGCATTTGGGTTTATTTAACATGGATTTTACACAGAGATGGTCTTCCCCTGTAGAACTAGATGCCAAAACAAAGAGATACGGGGGAAATCGTCTCGGATTATTTACAGTTTGTTTGCTCAGCAGGCAAAATTCCTCAGGGAGAGAATTTTCATTTTACTTGTCAGCTCACTTATTTTGATTGTCAACTAAAATTTAACGCTCTTATTTTTTTCCTCGTTAAGATTGGTTCATTTTTCCAACATTATGTCTGAAACAGATTTCCCACCAGCAGTTAATTTCCAATCTCCCACCCAGTCGGGCTTTTATGGAATCAGCACAGAGCTGTGATTCATGGGCTTGGTTGTGTAAGTTATGTTTGTGTGTCATTGCTGTGAAACTATGGGGAGTGTAGCAATAAAATCTGCAATAATCTCCCATGTGAGGTTAATGCAACCGTATGAAATTCTCCAGAGAGTCAGCCTTCTGGACTGTGGTATCTTGTATGTATGTATTGATTAATAATTCAGTACGAGGGGAAGGAAAATTAACAAGCCAAAGACATTTTAAGCATTTCTATCTGATGGCTGCATCTTCAGGTTTTGTGCCTTGCTTAAAGACACATTTAACGATGCTCGGACTAAATCTGGTTCCTCGTTCTCGGTTCTGCATATTGGATATTTGTTCTGGGTATACTTAAACTGCACAACCTCAGACTTTTAGTTGCTGCTCACATCTGATTTTTGGGTGACTTTTATCAAAGAAATATGTCTTCAAGTTTGAAGTGAATCAAAACACGAGCTATTTTTCTTTCCACTACTGATGGTTATTATCCTTCATTTTAATGTTAGCTTAGCCAAGCTAACGTGGCACAAAAATGATCAAACTGTTTAAGGTAAAATATGTAAAGTTTATTTATGACTATGATGGTAACCTGCTGTAGATGAAATATCATCTAAGGATATAAAGGATATACAAGTCACTTTTAAATGTATTGTTGGACATTTTGTTTGTTTTTTTGCCAAGAGAAAACTGGAACTGGCTGGCGATCCGACGCTATGTAGGATTCAATTTTAACTAAAATGCTGCAGACACTGTATTTTCTGGGATCACTGTTACTCATCAAAATCAGGTATTTTTAACAGCACTAAAAAAGATGTGCTTTAAAAAAAAAAAAGGGATTTTAAGCTAAGCTTATTAGGTTAGCTATACCTACAGAGCAACTGTTGTAGCGGGTAACTTAACAGTCAGTGCCCACCTTACTCTCTTCAGTTAAAGCAAAGTTTGTGGTACCAGTGGCATGTTTGACGCTATACAGCTGCATGTTTCACAAACTGTAAATACAATGTTCAGATTTCAGTCCGTTATTATTATTTTTATTTAGACTTCAGTGAAATTATCATCCAGTAAACACAACAGATCTATCAGTGACTCCCGAGAGGTCTTGGCCCTATTCACCCATTCTCCTCGTCCTTCAGTCATTCCCTCATTCCCTCATTCCGCCCTGAAATCCTCTTTTCAGCTTAATCAGCCACATTCTTTCCATGGCGGGTAACAAAAAGAGCTGATTTACTGGAATCAAATTTACCTGATCAGAGTTTTCCTGCTCCTCATCTCCTGAAGGGAAAAATAATAATAATAGTTCCTCCTTTTTAAAAACGTTCAAATGGCTTTCACATCTGTTTGTCTGCTTTCCACCTCAGGCCTGCATTGTATGTGACATGTGTTTGTATACTTTTTGTATCACGAGAAAAACCCTGTGACTGAAATTGAGTGCAGACTGCTTCCTATTTAATTAAGGCAGTCGCCATGGTAGTTGTCACATCATATCAGAGAGGAAAACGCAATATGGAAAAAATGTTGAAACAGAAGCTTATGAGGGCCAAAAAGAATGTAATACTAAGAGTTTCTGTTATTACCATATCAGTTCAGACTACTGTTTATTAGTTTTCTTCAGCTAAATGCTGATTTGTGCAAAGCAGAGAGATTGTGTGTGTGAAAACCAACTCTGGTGATTATATGCAGTATATTATTGCGTGTGCATGTGTGTGTCTAGAACCATTCCAGACACTCAGCGTTAGCTGTCTCGGCATGATGACATAAGTGAAGGGGAATTCTTTATACTTTCCTCCCCCAGTTCTTCTCCACTGTCTCTTCTGTGTTGATATCTTGCATTTGAGAAAGTTTTTTTTTTTCCTGTTATGGACACATTGTCAGATCTTTTGGCCACGGATTTCTTTCTCCTTTTTTTTTCTTTCTTACATTTTCCCCTCTTGAGTCTCTCTTACACATGCACATTTGAATACACTACAGACCACAGTATCTAAACAAGTGAGCCAAGCAGAAGCTATTTTTCTCATTTGAACAGACAGACAGATTAGGACTCTTAAGAGAGCCTCTTAAGACCTGGTTTACTTGACTTCAGCTCTACTAGCAGAATGTACACCGTTATTCTTCTCTCTGGATGGAAACTAGGCAAGCTCAAACTGACCCACTCAGACCAGTGTGGATACTGGGATTGTTGACTGAACCTAATTGAACAACTGACAAGGGTCTGATTAAACCCAGTACAAGTGATTCTGGCTCTTGGTAGTTTATAGTAGAATCTAAGGTAGCGCTTTCTCCAAAGCATCCAAACATAATTGAATCAACATAAATGAACTCGTAACACCTGCCTTGCTAATTTCCTGTGTTAAGATAATGATGGTAGAACACATAAAGTCTGCAGGAGTCCTTCAAAAATGACATTACACAGTTGTCCCTTCATTTTAAGTCATGAATTAAATTCACAATCTCTGTCTCTCTTGCTCAGGAAAAGGAAAGAAGAACTCAAAGTCAGAGCACAAGACAGGGACAGTGGGGAAAGGTGCAGGGAAGAAGATCACTAAGATCATCGGGCTGGGTAAGAAGAAGCCGTCCACAGATGAGCAGACCTCGTCGGCAGAAGAAGACGTACCCACATGTGGTAAGAGGATATTAAAGTTATTATTCTAAATGTGTCAGTAACGTCTCAACGATTTAACAAAAAGCTGAATAATGATCATACTAGGGTTGAGGGATCTTATCCATTGACAGATCAGAGATCTTGGATACCCTGAGTGATGACAGTAGGATGACAAATATATTTATTGTCATCACAACCAAAATATTGATTATTTGAATTTGATAATCAGAGCATTCACAATATTCACTTAAAATCAGCAGGGACAGGTGCATAGAAACATGTGATTATGGCTTGCTGTTCCCTCTCTCTGGGTGTGGGTGTGCAGTTTGAAATACAGAAAGGCCAACTCAATCCAAATGATGAAGGCGCCAACCATAAATTGTTTAAAAATGAAATTGAAGATGTTTTTTTTTTATAATTATAATTCTTTGCTTCCAAAAAAGTCAGTTGTTTGCTGACAGTTTACTCTTTGATTGACAGGTTACCTGAACGTGTTGTCCAATAACCGCTGGCGGGAGCGCTGGTGCCGCCTGAAAGACAACCAGCTGCTCCTCCATAAAGACCGAGACGACCTGAAGAGCCACATTGCCTCTCTGCCTCTCCGAGGCTGCGAGGTCAGCCCCGGCCTCGACCACAAGCACCCCTTTGCCTTCCGCCTGCTTCGTAACAGCCAAGAGGTGGCTGTACTGGAGGTAAGCTTTGAATCAAGAATGCTGTCAGCTTTTCTCTTGTGTATGAGGAGATGTGAAATCCTGTCTCTATGTCAGCCACTAAAACTCCACCTTCAAACATCAAATGAAGCAAAAATGCCAGAAACTACATTAAAACACAGCCACACTGGCACAAGCAAACACTGCCTGTCATGTTTTCCTCCTTGTTCTTTGTGTTCCTCTCATGTGGTAAACTGTCTCCTCCACCCACCAGTGACTTGTGTCTGTGTATTTGATGTTGCTGGGGTGTATGAACTACCTCCATTTGCCATTTGTGTTGATTCTTTTCCCTCATGTAGTCAGCACACTATCCTCTGCTAGACATTTGCTTCCATTTCTTTTCCCTGTAAAACCATATCATTACTAAGCCTTTGATGGACGGTGAAATGCAAGACGTAGCCTGTTCCTACAAAAAACCAGAGGAGCTCCAAATTTCAACAGATTACATTATAGAAAAGAAAAACTACATTTTGGAACTATATTTTCTACATTTTTTGGTTCAGGCATTGAATAAACAGCTGCTACATTAACCTCCTATTGTCAAAGACACACTTTAACATCATATAAACTGAGAGGTATTGAAGTCCTGTAACTCCTTTTCCTCCAGGCCTCCTCCTCAGAGGAGATGGGTCGCTGGTTGGGGGTTTTGTTGGCAGAGACTGGCTCCACCACGGACCCAGCCACCCTGCACTATGACTACATCGACGTCGAGACCACCGCCAACGTCATCCAGTTGGCCAAGCAGTCCTTCTGGTGAGGGACAAAACAGTTTGTCTCTCATTTGTTAGTTGTTGTTGTGACAAGTGGTTGGACCAAGTCATGAGTTATTTCATCACAGAGCCTCCTTTTAAGCAGGTTTTATAATCACATAAAGCTTTTTTCTTTTGCTTTTTATATTAAGTAATCCAGGTTTCCTTGGAAACCCTGAAGTGATCTCAGGAGTTTTTCTGTGAAGTAAGATGTAATTTATGACAGTACTTTAACAAGAGCTGCACAAAATTGGAAAGAAAGCACATTCTGATATGTATTGCAAAAACTTTGTGCGCTACAATATCTTAAAACAGTATATTATTACATAAGATATATACCGTTTTCTTCTGCTGTAAAGAGAAGTCTCTGTTTTTCCTCCACACCAGCTTTTTTAAACCAAATCCTTCCATGCAGCAACATTTCCAGAGCTTCGTTTTACCCTCTTCTCTATTAGATGCAAAAAACCTCTGAAAACGAATCTCGCTCACAGAGAATACACACACACAAATCCAGTAAACAATAAATACTAGTTGGCTTAAAAGACCGCTGTGCAGGATTTAGGGGGAGCTGTTGGCAGAAATGGAGTATAATATTCATAATTATAGTATTGGATGGGGGCAGCCCACCAAAACGTGCATATTGCCCCACCCAATAAAAAATTTTGAAAGAAAAAATTTGTACCACTAATGTGCTGCTGCTAGTGTGTTCAAAACTCTATACATTCACATTTAAAACAAGAGTTGTGAAACTGTGTGGTCAAATGGAAATGACAAATAAAAAAAAGACAGACAGGCACAGACTGATAGATAGATAGATAGATAGATAGATAGATAGATAGATAGATAGATAGATAGATGGATGGATGGATGGATGGCCGCCATCAGTTCATGCTGAGAAAGGGAGGGGTGAGGGGAGGGGTATTTGGTTATTTGCAATCTCCAGCCTCACCACTAGATGCCACTAAATCTTCCTCAGTCCTTGAAATTGCAAACTGAAAAGAGAACTTTGCTTCATTACACAGCATTCTCTTCAGTACATTGTGATGTCGGTTGCTGCAGCCCTTACTGTAACCACATGCTGTTGCTGTTAGTGATCCGTGTGCAGTATGTTTCATAGACGAATGGGTCCGTTTGACCTCTGTGATATGAAAATCTGAGGTTATAAAAAGTACTTTATTAAAGAGATGTGGATTCTGCTTTTCTCCTCACAGTTTCACCAGTAAGCGTGCTGTCTCCCCTAACCCGTACCTGGACAACCCAGTCAACGGCTATGCCTGCCCCACTGGAATGGCTCTGCACTATGATGATGTGCCCATTAATGGAACGGTAAGGACACACCTGTTCACTGATGCTACATATACACATAGACTAAACTAAAGGAGGTCAGTAGATAGTTAAGTCTTGGCTGAACTCCACTTTGGCTGCTGCTCTCTTTGCTGACTGCTTTTCACTTTTCTGTGTGGCATTGAAGGTGTTATATGTAGCAGTTTTTATTAATATATTAATATTTAATATATCATTGTCAGATTAACGGTCATATGTTGGTATGACTAGACTAAATAAATAAGAACATTGATTGAAAAAACAATCACCATGAGGTCTATTAAGCAGCTGTTTTGAAGTTTTTAATCATATCACATGAGATGGAGTTTGTCCAGTTTGCGTGGACTTGCAGATGTTCAAATTTCCATTTCTTTCTAAGCATTTAAAGGAATTTGAAAGCACCACAAAGCTACAAAATGGACCTTGTGGTTCAACTGTTTTGTCAGCTGATGTTTTCGAAGTCAAAAATGAACTCCCCTCACTTTGCTTCCCCTTTGCTTTTCTAACCCACCTCACTGACAATAAAAAGTTAACATATTGAATATTTACACTTAACTTTCAGTATTCTGAGTGTTAGTGCTAAAAAAATCTAAAAGCTCAATATGCCCTAGAATGAGACGGTTAATACAATAACATAAGATTTACTGCATGTTAAAATGCATGTAGCACCTTTAATGACAGGGGAACTCCTGTGATTTAATATTGCTCTTCCATAAAGTTGGGGGACTCACAAGAGACAGAATACTGACTTTTAGTATCAAGTATGGTTCAAGCTCCAGAAAATATTTCCTCCATTCTCTTATATTTCCTATCATGCAAATGCAGGTTTTGAAAGCTCCTCCAAAGCTCAGCTTTTAGTTTTAGACGAGATCGAGGGACATGTGGAAGGGATGGGCTTTGAGATCTGAGAGCTCCAGGAGCTGAGTGCCAGTGAGATGTGAGGTGGGGTCTGTCCATTGAGGGCCTTAATGGTCATCAGCAGGGTCTTGAATTGAATTCTGAAATGAACAGGAAGCCAGTGAAGGGAGGCTAAGACTGGGGTGATGTGCTTGTGTTTCTGCATTCTGGACCAACTGTAAGCGAGATGATGACATATGTTTAAAATGAGTGGAGTTCCCCTTTAATGTCATATATAACACTTGTTATGTTGTGTATGTAAGCTGTGCAGTGTGACTAACTTTATGTTGCTTTCATCTTCTTCTCCTTACATTTTTCTTTGCTGCTATATATTGCTTCTCTCCTCTTTTCTTCTCTTTCCTTCTCTTTTCTTCTCTTCTCACTTGCATGGTCTAACCCAAGGACCTGCTGGTGCTGTACTCCAGTCCCAGCCCAGGAGGCTGCCAACTGAAAGAGGAGGGGCGCTATGAGAACACTGAACTCTATGAGAACATGCCCTCACCCAAGCTGGCCACTCGCTATCCTCCTAAGTCTTCTTCTACTTCCTCTTCCTCCACCTCTACCAGCCACTACAAAACCCCTGTTTCTAAAAAAATCTCCTCTAAGTTCCTCTCTACTGATACTAAAACTAAAGACACTGCTCAGGTGACTAACACACTGCTCCTTTACCCTAACCTTTTCCTACGCCACTCTTGGATATTTCCAGTGTTATACTCACATTTCTACAGTTCACAATATGTTTTTTTTTTTGTTTTTTTTTCCTTTTTTTTTATTTGGATACTTTTTGGTGGTGTTATTTAGGAGTAAACTGCACGTATGTCTTGTTTTCAATAAAAGAGAAACCATGAGCATCTCAATATTTTGTATCTCTGGTCTCAGCATTTTATAGTGGAGGCGGTACCTGTCACCTGAAACACAGACTGCCATTGCTAATGAGAAAATAAATTATTACTCTTTTATGAAGTAAAATACATTTTAAGGAAAAGCATGCAGTGGTGGCAAATCACACAGCAACAATCATGAGGCTTGCCCACCGTGTAGCAGCTAAATTAATATCTAGACAAGGTACTAGGTCAGGAACAGATCCCAGTTATTGATCTGTCACACTGTACATCCACTTACTGTTAATCATCCATGTTCAGAGCAGCAAAGCAAAAGCAGAGCACAATGTTAGGGCAAACAAAAGACTTAGTAAAAGTTATCATTTGGGAAAAGGTCAATTCACCTCAAAAGATGTGAGTAAAACAAATACACATGTATTTTAAAGCTGTGTTCAGTAGAACAGATAAAAAAAACAACATCTGACAGTATCAACTTATAAATTTGTTATGGCGGACACATTAGCAAACATTGGCCTGTCTACATGCAGCAACATTAACATTCATTTGGAGTTGTTTGGAAAAGTTTGCAGGCTGAACCAAAACAATGTGCTAAAGAGGCTAAAAAGCTTAGGAGCGCTAACAGAGCTTCCAGCTGAGTTGAGCGTGTGTGACAGTGTGTTTGTCACTATGAGCAACACCTTTCACATTATACATATGCATTGGATTCATTATTAATATGAAACATATTTATTATTGCAGATTTAATGTCAGCAAGTCTGAGTCATTTGCATCAGGGATTCACATCAAAAGGTTTTTAAATAAACATGTTGGAACCACACCGCACTCACACATGTGGTGGGGAAACCTTGGAGCTCATGCATCGTCCCAAACGGCTAGTTCCCTTACTGTCATTACAATGCATCCCTTCAAAGGAATGGTCAATTGAAGTGTAAGAGAGAGAGGTTTGGCTGAGGGAAGGAGGAAATTGAGTTTATTTTTCCTGCATGTGTTGACTAACTAGGTCAGGTGTTGATGTTGGCCACCCACAATCCCACCTCTCTTCCCAGCATGTCAATCATGTTCCCCCTCTGGTGTAGTTCTTAGAAGTTCAATTATTACCATTCCCGAAACCATTCCCATGACCGCGGTTTGTAAATGTTTACAGTGTTTTCCAATCAAGCTTTTAACAGCTGATATGAATCGCTGATTTAATATCAATAATGTATGATACAGATCAGCTGTTCTGAATTAATTGTACAGAACGCACATATAAAAACCAGATTTCTGTCTTTGTGGCTTGTGTGTAGTATATGTACAGTATGAGTATAGAATATGTATAGTATGTAGACTGTGTGTGTTCATGCTTGTATGGTTGTCCCACATAGTATATTTCCTTCCTCCCTCTCACAATGAAAATTGGCTACAGTATGTGAGTAATATATTTCTACAGCCCTTGCATCCCCAGCCTCTTGAAGTCACCACATGGTGTTGTATGGAGAGCCGCCTCCTCCACGCCACCCCTTTGATGTGTGTGCTGTGTGTGGCGTGGCCAAGGCTTGTTAACATCGCCTCTACAACCACAAAGTACCACTCCACTATAAGAAGTAGATTTCCAATTTTCAACAAGACAACCCCACTGCCATATGTCACATTACAGTCAGATCAGGTTAAGGCCATCACAAAGACAAGCCAGACATTTTATGGACCTGTGTTTCTTTCAAATGTGATGTAATATGAAAAAAGTAACACCCTGACTACCATCCTTGAAAGATGAATAACCCTAATAAAAAAGCAAGTAAATAAGTAAATGAAAGAACTCTTAAGTAGCCGTAGTAGTGTACATAGTTCATCCAGACAAAGTAAATATACATTATATACAGTATAATGACAATAGAATTTTTTTTTATTACACATCTACATACATGTTTCATATTTTACCATAAAACGATGTGCCTATACAAACATACATACATTAATCAATATTTTTTATACTAACAATGGATCGAATGCCCATGTGTAATGTGAAAGGTGTTGCTTATAGTGATGAACCCACAGAGAATTATCAACCAACTCTGCAGTTCCCTTCAGCTCTATGGAGTCTTTTAATGTCTTTGAGCTCATTGTTTTGGTTTTTCCAACCTGTAACTTTACTGTTTCAGTCAGTCTCACATTAAATTACATTCTGGCACTGGCAAAGGCATCAATGACAACAGAATTCAATTAAATTCAAATCAATTACTTCATAGCACCAAATCATAACAAGTCTTTACAGTATTATAAATCTAACAGTTTCCCACTGTTGACAGCTTGTTCAGCTGCACCCAAGCTTTCAGAAAAAGTTAATGCAGCTATAAGAACTGCTCTTACATTTTAAAGCAAAAGAAGAAGCTAATTCATACTTTTATTTGTACATATTTGTCAATTTAAATCAAATTTTTGCCTCACAAATCTATAGTCATGCAAATGCACCACATCTATCATGTTGAGAGGTGACTAAAAATAAAACCAGAGTTAATTATGGGTTCATATCGTTTGCATCCAAGTACACAGGAATAGGCTATCTAGCTGTCATTAAGCCTTTAATTAGAAATGTGCTATGGGTTTTAATGGAGAGTAATTTTTTGTTTTTTCGATACAAATTTTGGGATAACTAGAGCACGTACTTGTGTGTTGTTTATATGCAGCACTGACTTGTCTGAGATATTGTAAATGTATTTTGAAGTGAAGTATCTCTCCTCCTTGTTTTTCTCCCAATCAGCTGAAGGGAAAGAAGGGCACAGTCACCAATGGGATGACATCAAAACAGAAGGCAGAGCCAAAGAACCAGTCCAAGAAGAATGGAGTTCATGGGACAGCCTCTCTGAAACGCAACAACTCCAGTAAGTAGGAAAAAAGTATGTCTGCAAGTCTACATTATTTTGAATCGGGAAACTACAGTATTGATATCAGAAGAGTTTATCACGCTTATCCTTTAAAAACGGGGTCAGACAGTCAACTCTTCTGTAATTTCCTCTCAAGTCGAACTTGAAATATCAATAACATAGTAACTTCTGACAGTAGTCCACCTTTTCCAGTCAGATGTTGTGCTGTAAGTGAGCAGCAGACAGTGTGTCTGGCTCCCCAGTCCCAGCCTCACCACCACTGATTGCTTTCTAGCAAAGCTCTGCTCCGCAGCAATTTGGAAAATGCAGGCTGTCCAAAGTACAGTTGGTTTAAGTAGGGGGGAGTAAATAACTTAAAAACCTAAAACCTATCCTCCCCTCGAGACGAGCTATGTGACGCATGTGGGCTAGACTTAAACCTCCTGCCAGCATTGGGGTAACACTCAAAAAGACGTAATAGCAGAAGCATGGCCCACCTCAATGGAGAGTGAAATGTGGTTTTGTTAATCCTTGTGGTACAGAATAGTATTTTTTTGCCTAATGTGTGAATTAGGACAGTTGTAACCGCTTGTGGAGCTTGTCTTTCTTCCAAATGTCGGAATGGAAATACCAAATATGTGTCATGCTGGGTTTAGATTATGCCACACAATTCTCATATTTCCAGTGTCAAATAAGGGTATTGAATTTGAAAATGTCGGTGGTGGTTTGATTGAGTGATTCCTCATAAGCAAACTTCACAGGAATGCACATAGACACACACCACGTTGGATGGTTACCCTCAGTGTATTTTCCAGTAAGGGAAGGCATGGTCTTGGTGTAATTAATGACTGTGGGTTCAGTGGGTTTCTGGGTAGCTCAGGTCTCAACAGTGTCCCGAAGATAAAGGCTATGATCTCTTTTTCTGTTTATGCCTCTGCAGCAGCGACAGCCAGGGCCGGAGGCATTATGTTTTGGGTTGTCCGTCAGTCCGTCCATCCCATTCTCATGAACATGATAGCTCAGTAACACAGTGAGGGAACTTCTTCAAATTTGGCACAAACATTGGCACGAATGTTCACTAGGACTCGAGGACTGATCCGGTGGTCGGTTTGGCTCTATTCTGATTGGTTTGTTGGGTTGCAACTGTAGGCTGATTCGATAATTGGTTTGCAGCTCTATTCTAATTGGTTAGTTGGTTTGTAGCTGTATTCTGATTGGTTGGTTAGTTTGTAGCTGTATTCTGATTGGGTAGATGGTTTGTAACTGTATTTGGATTGGTTGATTTGCTGCTATATTCTGATTGGTTGATTTGTTTGTAGCCCTATTCTGGTTGGAAGGTTGGTTTGTAGCCATATTCTGATTTGTTGATTTATAGCTGTATTCTGGTTGGTTATTAGACGCTCTTTTCTGATTGGTAAATTGGATTGTAGCCATATTCTGATTGGTTGATTTGTAGCCATATTCCTATTGGTTAATGTGTAGCTGTATTTTAATTAGATAAACTGAGACAGTGATATTTTATATCCAAATGGTCACAGGTCAACTTCATTGTGACATGATGTTCTGCATAAACACATCTTTTTTAACTGACACTGAATCTTCATTGTGCAGATGCAGAGCAGTGCAAGTATGGGAAGAACCGTGTGGAGGCAGACGCCAAACGGCTGCAGACCAAGGAGGAAGAGTTGATGAAGAAGAAGCAGGAGATCAGGAACCATCTGACCCAGCTGAAAAAGGAGAGGAGAGACATGCGCACTGCTGTGGAGGCTGCTGCTGGTAAGAGGGACTGCCTTCATGCAAAATATGTAGTGGTCATTATCTGAAGTTTAAAGGAGCAGGAAAGTTAAAACTTTGGGTAAAGTCTTGGGTCTGGAATAAGCTCTCCAACGTCTCCACACAACATCTTACTAGGTAGAAACATTCTCACTCTTTGTCCATTAGGCAAGCGTTCTCATGGCTCCCTGTCGGAGCGGCTTAAGAAGGTGGAGGAGGACTGCCGGCAGAAGGAGGAAGAGAGGGTGAACCTGGAGCTGGAGCTGACAGAGGTGAAGGAGAGCCTGAAGAAGGCCCTGAGCGGAGGGGTCACTCTGGGCCTTACCATTGAACCAAAAGCTGGCTCCTCTGGCCTCCAGGTTAGGACACCTGTACTGTCTTGTGGTGACTTAATCCTTCCACAGCAGTTCAAAAACCAAATGTTGCTAACTTGAAGTAGCCAACAACTGTCTACTATCTGTTTACCAACTTTTCCCTGTTGTGTGTGTGTGTGTGCAGTCACCCTCAATGTTGAGACGGACACAGGAGTCTTCTCCTTTCTCCAGCTGCGACACCAGTGACACAGAGTCCTGCTCCCTGCCAGTCAACAGCGCTTCGCTGCTGCGCCGACAGCAGGGCGGTCAGAAGGCCTCACCGGTTCGTGGACACGTCCTCAGGAAGGCCAAGGTCAGAGCTCACAGTGTTCAGTCATACATTTTCATTTTCATTTATTTATTTTTACATGGTAGAAGATTATTTCATTGCACTGGTACTACTGATTGAGATGATTGTACATAATCGGAAAATTTGATACAGGTGACAAAATGTCAGTGGTAATATCAAAAAACAAATAGATGCAGAATACAGAGGAGCATGCAAACTAAGTGTGTCTCTGTTTGTTTTGCAGGAATGGGAGCAGAAGAACGGCACATAAACCACTCAACCCCTCACATCAGTCTCACTTTAAGTCCTTTTCTTCTTTTTAAGAAATTGTCTATATATTTATTTATAGCTGTTCATACAGACCGATAGCATGGAGGAGGACACAGTCATAGCATTCACATGGACCAAAACAAGTGGCTGGTTTTAGTATACTGTAAGTACCACAGCATACAGACATAGCAACCTTTTTAAACGTTTGAACTAGTGAGCAGGCTTAGTGTACTGAGGTGTGCAGCTTGTGTTGTCCACTGTACCTTCTTTTTTAAGCAAAGACCAGTCTTTTTTTTCCACTCAAATTCTTACAGCAGTTTGGGTTCAAAAAGATCAAAGTCAAAACCAAGTATTTATTTGTAAATGTTTAAAGGAAATACTAGCTTCCCTTTGTTTATTTATGTTGATTTATTTAAAGGGTTTTTTGTAGAATTTGGTTAATTAATGATTATCATTCATGGGTGTCAGCATCGGCACACAAAGTGCACCTTTAAGGGTCACAATAATCATAACACACACCAGCTGTGAAACAATGCAGCTCCTTTCTAAGAGTTATTTCAAGAAGCAGTTATTTGACTTATTCTATCATCCGATAAGCTGAAAACCACTGAAACACTGGGAGGTTGACTTGCATGGCTGTGACACATGTTCAAATGAATACAAGGCTGAGCCTGGACCAGAGAAGAGGCGCATGAAGTGCATAAGAACTGCATATGTTGATCCGACTTGTTATTGTTGGGTCAGCGCAAAGACATTTTTACGCACAAAAAGTAATATATCACTAGGAATTTTTTCCAACCAATCCATGGTCAGACTAATTCACAATTGCATTTTTATGTCCGTATCCAAAGTGAAATTTGATGGTATATGTGGGTAATGGTGAATCCCCTGTTTATTAAGTCTATTTCCTGAGAGAAACCGTCATTTATGGGATATAGACATCCAGCATACTTTCCTTTCCTGGACGTCTATATAACTCAAAAATGGACAAAAGTCAAGCATCTATGAGTTCCTCTGTATATGAATCAGCCAGAACCCTGAGTCTCTTAATATGTCCATGGCTTTTCTGCCCTCGAACCCATATACATGTACGTTCCTGTACTCGTGTAGTAGTAGTTTACTGTACTACTACTAGATCATGAACTCAAAGAAATAACAAAAACCTCTGACCTCTGGTTCCATGTGGCTGTGCAGAGCTGTGGTTTTATCTGATTTATGACATGTTTGAAGATTACTTGAACATCAATGTGTCTTTCCATAAACAGTGACATTAACAGTGACAGGAACTACTGTATTCATTCAGTAGGAAATATTCCTAAATGAACCCATTAGTAAAATAACTGGCTGGATGCCACTAGGGGTAATTAAGAAAAGGTTTTTTATGTGAACTGTCCCCTTAACTTTTACATCTATATTGACTGAAGCGTAGAGTATAATATTGATTTGTGTTAGAATAATTTATTCCTAATAAATAAATAAATATTCTGGATGTGCCCTGTTCCCGAAAATAAGACACACACAACCAGGATAGAGGGGCGACTGCAGCAGGGTCTTAAAACGAGCCTCCTGACGTCTTTACAGCAGAAACCAACCAGGGAGAACTGTCAAACAGCCAGGAGTTACAGCTGTCACACGTGATGAGCTCAAAAGGACAGATTGAAAAAGATATTGACTGATAGACAAGCTACATTAATGTGTTTCACTTTCACAAGAGAAAAGGCTGCAAAAGGAGGAGTGCTGCTTTTCCTCAAAAGGTCCTTTTTCTCCAAACCTTTACTGGAAGACGCAACTTTTAATGACAAAACCTCCAAAAAACAAAAAACTATGACGATGAACATGAACGAGATTGACGCATGAATAAATTCTCATAAGTCATCTTACAGAACATGAAAATGGACATATTTCTTGATCAATGTAAATAAACTTAATAGTCGTTGCTCGCAGCAACAACTACTGCAGCTTCCATTCTGGCTGTAAATGACGTTGGATATGTCACTCTGTAACGATTGGTTAGTTAGTGCAACGCAAAGCAAACAACCTGCCTGAACAGAGAATGGCCAACATGAACACAATGTCTGACTGACTGATTAATGAAGTCAAAACTGATTATGACAAACAATTAGCCAGTAGCCACAGCTTCAGCAAGTCACAACTGTGAAGTCAGTGTTAACTCAGAGCATTAGCAAAATAAAATACAGATCCAAGCCCTGTCATACGCAACAGAAGGAAGCAGCTGAAGATTAGACCAGCGAGCAGCAGTGACTGGGTTTTAGGTTTAATTCTGTTTAAAGGAGTGAGACCAATCGTGTGTTTCATCTTCATAAAAGCCTGCAGCCTTTCCACAATAGTAGCGGTGTTAATTAATGAATTAATTAACTTGGTGTGTATGTTCTGGAGATAGCACAGGAAGTCTCAATCCCAGTGAGATTAATCAGGATTGCTAAAAGGCATCTTTCAGTTTCGAGCTAATATTTGAGAAGCCACGCCCACTTGCACCAATCAATATAGCACTTCAGATTTTTCTTAATACTTGCCCCCAGAGCATGTGCACCTAAACCGGGGAGATTCTGTCCACTTGGTTTTGAGGTACAACATGCTGGACAAATCATTCATGGGTTATGGCCAATTTCCTGCTAGCCCCTTGTGAAGTAATATATATGAAATAATGATAATAAACTGACAGGAAAACAATAGGGTTTTGACACTTCTGGCCTTGAATCCTAATCAATAATCAATCACTCACTTCACCTCCTCTAACTTGGGTTACCGTTTGTTGCCACCTGTATTCAAAGTCACCCAGTGCAGCTTTAACCACACTGTTTCAGAGCAGTCTTGCTAACGGAGTAACTGTGCTTCTTTAAATAAAAGTATGACGGATGGCTGTGAACTCTGTAGTCTGTTGCAGGACTCCAACGGGGTGTGTGTTAGTTCTTTGAAATTCAGGAAGGTCAGGCTCACCCTTAGATTTGGCTCCCGTAATCACACCACTACTGTAGCCCTGTGTCTGACTGTGTGTGTGATGGAAGTGTGAGTGTGTATGTGTACTTGTACTATCTTTGTGAGGAGCAGTTTGAGTTGTAGACCTTGGGAGTGAGGACATTTTAGCTGGTCCTGACAACTTTGAGTCAGGTCATTTCATTCTGATGGTTCAGGTTAAGGAATCAATTATTTATTATTATTCATCCTTCCTCACAGAGATAGAAGTACAAGAGTGTGTGTGTGTGTGTGTGTGTGTGTGTGTGTGTGTGTGAGTGTGTGTGTGTGTGTGTGCGTGTGTGCTTAACTGTCTCCAAGGCACATTCCAAACCCATCAACAATACACTGACTGAAATAGGGACACTTGCTGTAAACTCTTACTTACTTGCTTTCAGTCTGCCACACACACACATACACACACACACACACACACACACATCACTTGCCAAAGTGCTTTTGTGATCAAGGCTTGCGTTCCACTGCCTACGCTCTGCCGCCATGTGGATACTGTTGATTGACAGACGTAGCGTTAGTTTGCACTATTGCTAGAGTTTGGAAATCAATGCTACAAACAGCACGTGGCCCCAACTGCTCCTAAACCTTGTAAATAGTTTCTGTCCCCTCCCTGCTTTCAGGTTAATACCCCACTGATCTGCAGACTGCATGTTAGCATGAAGGCAGGCGCGTAGGGGAGTTATATCTACAAATATTTAGTTCATTATGATTCCCTGTCAGCTCAGCAAGGCATGTAACTGAGCAGGATGTCTGATGTCAGTAAATGTGAAGCTGCTGTACATATAGTAGCTTGGCTTTGTGGGGAGGGGGGGGGGGGGGGGGTTTGTGTAGGGGATGAGTACAGACTCATGCATCAGTGTTTGTTTTTGCACCTTATACATTTTCTACTCTTTTGTATATCTTAGACAGTCTCCGCCTCGGTGACATCCTTGTACATAAATGAATAAACTCACTTGAAAAACAGCTCTCAGTGATGTTGTGTTTTATTGGGAGGGGGGGGGCTGTTTAATATTCTATTCAACAAAATAAAAAAGCTAATGATGAACACTTTAAGGACTCCTCAGTGTCTCTGAGCTCTGCAGCAGCTCCTTCCTCCTCCTGGTTTCTGCTCTGATCTGCAGCGTCAGCTGTGAGACCTGATACAGACAGGGGTGTGTCTTTACACTTCAGGTTGATTGAAGGAAACTCCCAGTTGCTCCTAACAACAGCATCAGCCGTGAACGGTGAGTGAGTGTTTAGGGCGCATGCCATCTGTGCAGATGGCCTGAGCAGTGAATCGATGGTTTGAATCCCGATTCGTCATTGCTGCACGTCAATATAATATGTACTGAGAGCACTGAGTGAACGTACATATCAGCTTGTAAACAGCTTGTTGATATTGTTTGTAATTACGGAGTTCCTAATTTCTCTTTAAGGAGTGCATAAAGTCATTAATATCTCAAACACTGTTCAGGCTATAGACTGACATTTGGCCCATGATGCAGTGCTTCACATAGTCATAAATTGGTGTAATGGCACCACCGTGTGGCGAAATATCAATGTTTAACGTGACTAATACTAATATTTTAATACCTCTATTTTCTCTTACATGGTCATGTCCCTTGCTTTGACCAGGATAACATCCTGTTTTATGGCAGCAGGGTGCAGCTATCACATTTTCTTCAGAAAATGCAGAAGTTTCTAGTTTACAATATCATATTTAAAAAGAATAAATTCAGAACAGGAGGTTTGTCTCAGCCAGTTGCTCAGTTTGATGTAAACTAAGATAATCAGTTAGACTCACATACAGGCAGCTTTCATTTTAGCTTTTCCTCACAATTTGCTATTAGCTCAACCAGCAGTCAGGGGCCAAATAGTGGACTCTGTCTCTGTGGACTCTGTCCCCTCAGCCTGTCAGTCCACACTGTGATCTTTGGGGTCAGGCTCCTCCTGCTGATAGTCTTCACGGAGTTCAGGTACAGAGTAGGGCTGGGTTGAAAAAATTGATCCTCCGATTAAAATCGATCTTCATTTGAATAAACTGATATCGATTCATTAAACCCCAGAACGATCTTTTAATCTCTCCCGTGGATGTGTGAAGCTGTCGTGAGATGTGGTCAGGTGAGTGTTGGTGTCGAGCTGCCGGAGCCAGGCAGAGACCATGAGCCACTAGAGATAAAGGAACAAGCTGTGTAAGTAAGACAACACTATTTTTTTATTGCTTTGGAATGTGTAGAAATAAAATTGGTATTACTCATATCACATGTCTGTCTTTCATAAAACGGTCAGGTTTAGTTCTCAAACAAGTAAGACCAAGTTGCTCTGTTGTGTGCAATCATATTAGTTGGTCATTAATTAAATTATAGATTAATCCTGGGCCACAACCACTGTCATGTTGCCTACCACAAAAACCAGCACATCCTGGAGCCGTCTTACAAATGGATTTCTCAACCTTCACAATGGAACATCACTTACATCACATACCGGGGGTCTGCAACATGTTTTACTCTGAGAGCTCCTCATTGAAAAACGCACATCCCTGCGCTGTTCTCCACCTCATCCATGCTGGTCCTCTTCTCTCTTCAGCCTACTGCCTGGATTTTACAACCCTTCTTACTGGCACTTGTAGATCTTGTCAAAACATTACTGCCACCTTGTGACATGTATTGGTCACTGCACACAAATTGTAATTCCTCATTCAACAAAGAAATTATTTCACATTTATAATATGTAACCTTTATAACTATGCTTTAACTATATGAATTACTGTATCAACGAACTAAAAGTACATCAAACTGGGCGTTTCCAAAAGTCAAATAAATGTAGCAAAAATTGATGTGTTTTCAAATTAAAACATATCAGTGTAGATGTGGCCTTAGCTCAGGGGTGTCCAACTGTTTTTCCTCTAAGAGCTACTTTGACAAAATTAAAAGTGGCGGAGAGCGCCTCATGTCTTATATTACTGGTTACATTTATTCACATTTTGTATCAAAACTCTCAAACTGATCTCCAAAACAAATCAGATCAATAAGATCATTTAACAAGTCATCAAATATCAACATCAGTCAGGCCTGAACACACACACATGATAGCACCACTGTAAATAAACTTATTTTTTAGTTATAACTCGTGTGGTCTTCTCTGCTTTGTCCAGCCTTGAGCTGGGTTGTGACAATATATTCGCAAAATCTTTACATAAATAAATACATACATAAATATATTAAAAATGTATGATTTGACAACTTTTAACAATGGCACAGGCAATCACCGCATTATTATTAATTCTGCAAAATGTAGTTTTGTATTTAGTGTATGGTTGTGGAAATTCAGGGGAAATACTAAGACAATGGCTCTGTCCATGTCCTGGTCTATCCGTTCAGCCAAAACAATTTGTCTGAGGCAGGTTGATGAAACAAACTGTCCTCTTGTGGAAAGCACACGTCCTTCAGAGGGGACACTGTGGTGCATAGTAAAACAGAGCTGCAAAGGCGACCTGTCAGAGTAGATGATAAAA